CATGTTGGCAGATTCAAAACAGATTATTCTCAACACAGTTTCAGATTTAGTTAAAAATTTGTATAAATTCATAGAAAGCTCAAAAATTGTTTCCAAAAATTTCTGGATAAACTAGACATCATTATCAACAACTTTGTAAAAGAAATCATCTCAAAATTCTGAGTATAAAATTATCTAAAAATTCAGGTAACATGCTGGCAGATTCAAAATAGATTATTCTCAACACAGTTTCAGATTTAGTTAAAAATTTGTATAGATTTGTAGAAATCTCAAAAATTGTTTCCAAAAATTTCTGGATAAACTAGACATCATTATCAACAACTTTGTAGAAGAAATCATCTCGAAATTCTGAGTATAAAAGTTTCTAAAAATTTGGGTAACATGCTGGCAGATTCAAAACAGATTATTTTCAACACAATTTAGACAATGTATCATATGTACACAATCTGAAAATTTCAATTATGTAAAAAAAATGAGAGGATTGAGAGGGTTTTCTTACCTAATAGTAGGATTCAAATGGTTGATAAAATGGTAGAAAATTTTTGCTTCCTTAACTTTCCTCTCTTCTTCTCCTTCTACTGTTAGCTGAGATTTTTTTTTTTTTTCTAATTTTCCCTAACTTGTACGAAAGAGTAGACCAAGCCTCTCTTTGCATGAGATTTTGCTCAGCCATTCATGGTGTATATATACTGAGCTCCCCCACTCTCTCTCTCTCTCTCTCTCTTTTTCTCTTTCTCATTATGCTCCCCACTATACTTCTCCTTAACCCAAGAATGATAATGGGATGGAAGTTACCAAGCTTACATGCAAGCTTGCATGTGGCATATACTGCCACCGAATCAGATTCCTCCTATTTTTTTTTTTTAACTAATAAATTATAACAATAGTTATTAAGCATCCACAACATTTTTATTCTTAATAAGGTCTTTGTTAGTGATTGAATTTAGTCAATTTAAAACTAGCTTTTACACTAATATACAATTCAGATAGACTGTAGACAAAATTAATTAATTAATTTATTTATTTATTTTCTTTAAAGAATAATTAAAAGATGGGTTTTCACACAACCCTTGAGAATACCCTGTGCATGCTTTGTTTGCCCTCTGTTGCAGCAGGGAAGCGCAACCAGCAGTGACCGGCAAGCCATCATCAGTGAAGGGGCCGGCCACCAATGCAAAATTCAGCAGTGTACACTCCCAGTAGAGCAGAGTTAGTCTGGAGGTGGAAATGAGTGTAAGTGTTCTATTGTGCAACAAAGGCATTTAGCAACAGAAACAGTGGCTTTTCGGGTGGAAATCGAGCACGTGCATGAGCATTTCTCGCGTACCGAGCATGTTTAATTTTAAATATTTAGCTTAGATATTTGTTTGTAAAGTGTTGTAATTAATTAGTTAGTTAACTAATTGTTTGATTTCATCTTGTAATTATTTTAATTAGCTAGATTAGTTAATTAATTCGGTTTGTAATAATTAGTTAACTAGTTTAGCTACCTATTCATTTGTTGTTGTAATAGCTAGGTAATTAGTTAGCTAGTTTATTAATTCAGACTCTCCTTCATGAGAGCGCAATGTAATAATGTGTATGTTTTTCAACCCCACGTCTTTTTCCCTTTTATTTTACTAGCTTATGATGGTTAGTTAAGGAGCATCATGTTTTGTTTAGCATACTCCATGTTTGCATCCATTTGTATTGCATGCACCGAGATTCGGTTCATCATTCTAACTTGCAACGTTTATTAAATACTTATTTGAATACGTGCTTAGATTACATGTTATCAATTTGATTCATATGTCATATTAGTAGTCGAGCCTATTAGTTGCATTTTTACATGAGTTGCATTAGTCATATTTCAAGTGATACATATTCGAAACGATTTTTCAAACAAACATGAATCAAATGTTCCAATTTTTGCAAGTTAGTCCATACTCGTGTGTGCATGCATCACATAGTAATGCTAGCCTAATAACCAGAACAAGAGCATATAATGTAGATAAAAATCATACCATGATTAGTAGAGGTCGATCTTTGATCGGGCGAGTGGGGGTGCTCAATTCATGACCTTCCCCTCTTGTACCTAAGTTCCTGAGCTGAGACAATACGAGTCATGGGTTTCTTAAATTTATCCAAAAAATATTTAGGTGGCCACTCTGTATCTAGCAAAATAGTTCATTTTTGACAATTTGATTCAAAATCGATTTTCCAAAAGATTTTTCGGATTGGGACTCTTTGGTGTTTATCTATTTCACATTGCACTTGTGAGATTAGATTCAGAACCGCGGGAGTCCGATACTGTAGGGCTTATTTGTCTTCCGAAAAGGGACGCGAAAAAGTCGAGCTACACTTGAGCCAAAACTATGGTCCAAGTTAGTTATGCAAAAATTGCCACACAAGAGCGCGTGGCTTGCTCGCTCGGGCTAGGTCTGGGTCCGTGATTCATGATTCGTGGGTCATGGATCTTGGATCTTGGGCTTGAGGCTTGAAGAATGGGTTAGGTTTGGGTTGGGTCGGATTGGTGGTCTACCAACCTAATCTTTTGGGGCCAAGTCTGTCAAGTGGTTGCAGATATATATATACACACATGTGTATATTATATGTAACTTACACATTGAATCCCTATCAATTTTGTGCATTCCTCCAGCAATTTTGCAGGTGTAATGGGCTGCATTGGTTGCTAGCCTTTATGGCTGGAGGCTTCTCCTCTCTCCTTCATGGTGTATAAATATAGACTAACTTCTTTGGTTGACACATAGAATTTTTTTTGGCTTCCATGTTATACAGTCAGCTTGCTTTTATAATTTTCTTCCTGTGTGAGAGAGTGCTGCCATTGTTGGCTCGCTAAAGCTAACAGAAGGTGCTTCTGCGTTAGTAGGTCTAGACTGTCATATTCGGGGAGACAGACACTGACGTACCTCCAGCACCCACGGTGAGGTGGCGAATCTGTTTTAAGGGGATTGTGGTATCACACAGGTTTCGGCTTGCTTTCTTTACCATTGTAATGTATTATGTATTTTTGTGCAATATGGTTGTAATTTCCAGCATATTTTCTTATTCTGTAGTTTAGTTTGATTAATCGCGAATCTATTTATCTTATTTAATTACAAAATTTAGCCAACAATCTTAAAACATATTTTTTTTGTCCCATGAAATTAGATAAATATATTCATATGTAATTTGTAAGAGATTAAATTATTACATTTGACATGCTTCTGTTAGTAATGTAGAAATTAAATTAGTTTCATGCTAGTTGTGCAGATTGGTTTTCTTGTGACTTTTGTATACTGTAGTGCTTTGTTGGTAAAGTTCTTATTTTCTTTAGTAAATTACACTGAGCAGTTCTTTCATCTTGTTAATAAATAAATATGAACTATTGTACTGCTATGATAATTCCCATGGATTGTAATCATTCTGCAGCTCTTTTGAATTTGAATAAGAGCTCACTGTGTAATACATGAACTCATGATTTTTGCGCTAATGCTTTATTTATGATATAATAATATATACATGCTTGCAACTGTTTGGGAGGCTCTCTGCTTGGTCTGTAAAGTGCATGAATGCTTTTATTTCTAGAACTCTAGTAAAATGTGCATACTTATTTGTTTAAGTATAATTTTATTCTATGAGCATGGTTCATGATTTCTACCATGATTTGTTGCTTCTTTATTTTATAGTTTCATAATATAATTGCATATTCTCAATTTTCTAGGTTTTAGTTTTCTGGAATTATTTGCATGATCTTAATTCTAAAATAATTTACATGTTATTTACTATAAACATTCACATGTTTATTATATGGTTATTGTTTTGTAAAAAATTTATATAACTCTAGCCTATTAAAATTTTAATTTGACTAGTAGGAGTTATAAAGGTTTTTTTGTAACTTGTCTATTTATTTACATGTTTATGGTGTACATTAAATTTTAAATTAATTTTGGATTTTTAAGTTTTATGTGTGTAACTTGTATAGCATTTTAATTTTTACTTAATTTTGCTAATCATTTATTGCTTTTATAGTTTTTTCCAATTCTTTGCTTTGTATTTTGTTGTGTTTTGTGCTAACCTTCTTTACAGGAATACCTGTGCAAAAAGGAAAAATACAAATTCAAATGAAATTTGGGTTTGCAATAATAATAATAATAAAAAAAACTGGACTACTAACTTTTTGTTGAATAGAAATACCTAAGCATGGAAATGAATTTTTGGACTAAATGGCATCCTCACTTGGATTGGTTTGCTAGTCTTATATTTAAAGTAATATTTTGCTTGAGTTTTAGTTTGGTTCATTTACTAATTTGTAGAAGCAAGTTTTATTTGTTTATAATTGTGATAGCAATTTTTTACATTGCTTGTAATTTGTTTGCAAATTTTTTTTTTTAATTGCATGTAAGTTTGGAACTTGGTTTGTTTTAACCTAGTTCATCTCCTAGAAAACTTAATTCTAAAAATTGTTTCCTATGGATTAGGAGTCAATTTGCTCTTGAAAGTTTTGTCTAAGGTTAATTGGGTTTTAAGTGGGACCAATGTGACCCCTCCAGTCTTCTTAGAAACATTCTTGATCATGTTCGATTCTAGGGAAGTGGTGATGCTATTTTTGAATTAAACTGCCAACTTTGAAATTTTCTAGTGTTAAGTTTAATTTTTGAAAACGCAGAATAGTGAAATTTTGTTGTATTTTTTAGAAATGACAACTGTTACCGATGCTACTGTTGCTGCTAATGTTGGTGGGGATCAGAACCCCGGGGCAATTGGCTTGCCAACTCCTACTACTGTGACCTTTGTGGTCAACCCGGTTGGTGTGATCTTTGTGGTCAACCCTGTTGCTACTCCTGTTATTTCGGTAGGCCCTCTCAACCATCATGAGCACCCGAAAAAGTTCACGGGGGGTGAATTTCAAGAGATGGCAGCAGAAGATGGCGTTCTACCTAACTACTCTAAGCCTTGCGAGGTTTTTGAGTGAGGATCCACTAGTCGTAGAAGAGAATGAGCAAGATTAGCAGAAGCTCATGGCTCTAGATGCTTGGAAGCAGTCAGACTTCCTTTACCGGAACTATGTTTTGAATGGCTTAGCAGATTCACTTTTCAACGCATTTTATGTCAAGAAGTCAACAAAGAAGCTGTGGGGTGCTTTAGACAAGAAGTACAAGGCCAAGGATACAGGGGTGAAGAAATTTGTCGTTGGCCAGTTTCTAGACTTTAAAATGGTGGACTAAAAAACTGTCATTAGTCAAGTCCAAGAGTTCTAAGTAATTCTACACGAGATTCATGCAAAGGGAATGTTCTTGAGTAAATCATTCTAGGCATCTGTGTTGATTGAGAAGCTGTCTAACAGCTGGAAAGACTTCAAGAACTACTTGAAGCACAAACGAAAGGAGATGACAGTTGAAGAGCTCTTTGTCTAGCTCCGGATTGAGGAAGACAACAGGAGGAAATGGGGGAATACCTCCACTGTGAAAGCAAACGTGATTGAGCATAGCCAATCCTCAGGGGTAAAGAATAAGCCACCGACAAGCAAAAGCTTAAAGTTGGGGGCTAGAGGTAGTGTCTCCAAAAGGTCAGTCTACAAGCCACAAGAACCTACTTTTAGGTTTAATAGAAAGTGCTTCAACTGTGGAAGCGATGGACATCGGGCGGTTGATTGCCGTAAGTACTCTCCACAGAACAAGAGTCGTGCCCACATGGTTAAAATGGAGGATCTGTTACAAGATGTGGATGACATGCATCTGTTAGCTTTCGTCTTAGGGGTGAACATGGTGGGGTCCAACTCGAAGGAATTGTGGGTGGACTCTAGGGCTACTCGCCACATTTGTGCTGATAAGAAGATGTTCATAACCTTTGAACTAGCTTCAAACGATGAGAAGTTGTTCATGGAGAATGCTGCTACCTCAACTGTTGAGGGTAAAGACAAGGTGGTTCTAAAGATGACTTCAGGAAAAGAGCTGACTCTGAACGATGTCCTATATGTACCGGACATTCGTAAGAACCTTATCTCGGGGTTGCTCTTAAGCAAGCATTGTTTCCGCATGGTGTTTGAGTCTGATAAGGTCGTGTTGACCAAGAGCGGGGTCTATGTGGGAAATGGGTATCTATCGGGTTGTATGTTTAAGCTCAATGTAATGATTATTATCCGTAAGATTAACGAAAAAGCTTATTCTTCTGCGTATATGCTTGAATCCCCTCAATTATGGCATGGTAGACTTGGTCATGTAAATTTTGACTCTTGGCCAATGCTTTGTCCGTTGGTTCATAGGCTGGGCGCGGTATTGGCATTCCAACCTCGACGCTTCCATGCGTCCGAGGAGCCAACCGCTGTAAAGCAGAAACTCTGTGCGGATCCCGCGCCCTGGCATCCTCCTTGCATCGTGCTTTTTCTTCGAGCACGGTTCGCAAGTCGGATGATCTGGGCAACTCTGTCTGTCTAGATCTGGTTTGGTGCGAATGCGAGGGCCAATATGTGCTTCCCTCAGTGTATGATCCCTCAGATCTCGTCCTCTCAGACCTGGAGTGACGAGTTCTGGAAGACCAGGATTGAGTGTCGCCTGTCCTGAGGCTTCTGCTCTCTCCTTGCGAGGGTGTGGTATTCCTACAATGACTTTCTGAGTGGCGAGGGGGCGTTTTATTTTTGCGCCCCTCTCCTGTCGCCACTTCTTTTTTCTTCATCTGGTGTTTCAAGGCCTCTATGTCCGCCGCCATCTTTCTTATCAATTCATCTTGCTCCTTCACGCGGTCTTCCAGGGCTTGAGGATCAATCCTCATCCTTTGTCTGTCAGGACTTTGCGAACGAGAGTGACGGGGGCTGTTAGTCCGTCTTCCCCTAGCGTCCCTTCTGGAGTTATGTCGTTGGGGTTCCAAGTCCGCCATGGGAGGGACAGAGGGTAATCCTTCACGTCTTGCGCCCCCATCCGGAGTTAGCCCGTCGACGGCGAACTGCGGCAATTCCTTAATGTGTGCCATTGATTGAGAAAAGGAGAAGCTTAGTCAAGAGGTTTTGTTCTGTCTGTTTTTTCCACAGACGGCGCCAATTGTACGGGAAAGAAATACACCTTCTCGTATAATCCTGTTGACTAAGCCCGTGCTCCTCCGTACGACGTCGCTTTATCACCTGAAAACACAAACGTGAGCTAGCCGGCGGGTGTGTGCCGAAAACCTCTCCGATGCCTAAGTCAGTAAGCTTGACAAATAGACAAAAAGCTCTGTGTTCAGAAAGCAAAGTTGTGTGTTACCTCCTCCAAGGTGATGTTTGTGAGCTTTTATAGGTTTCAAGTGGCCCAATCCTAGTAGGACTTTTATTCCTCCATGCAGAGTCCTCCTAGGATTCATACTCCTATAGGATAATGCTTATCCTCTTACACACCCCCCCCACTGCTTAAACCAAGTGGGATGGTTTGCACCATGGCCGAATTGCCATACGACCGAGATAAACTAGGCTATACTGAGCCACAGAGTAGGCCGAACTTATCCTTAGTTCGGTTCTTGCGTTTACCCTTTTCTATCTCGGCATATCCTTAGTTCGGTTCTTGCGTTTACCCTTTCCTATCTCGGCTTTCCATGTAGAACCCATGGTATGGTTTTAGACCGAACCACTGATTCGCGATCGGTATAACTCCAAGTCGTTCCCGGTCCGAAGTAGTTTTACAATCTTTGAGCCGAAGTAACTTCATCTCTTTTGGCCGGAGTAACTTTATCCCTCTTGGGCCGAAGTAACTTTATCTCTTGAGCCGGAGTAACATTACGGCCTTTTTTACACAGTCCTTTGTACTTTGGGCCACAAAGTCCATCTCACAGCTCGGCCCAATTTTCACCAAAAATTACCCTCTCACTCAATGTAATGATTATTATCCGTAAGATTAACGAAAAAGCTTCTTCTTCTGCGTATATGCTTGAATCCCCTCAATTATGGCATGGTAGACTTGGTCATGTAAATTTTGACTCTTTGCATAGATTAATCAAGTTAGATCACATACTATCTTTCAAGATTAATCCAAATCACAAGTGTGAAACTTGTGTAGAAGCAAAATTGACAAGGACTTCTTTTTATTTTGTTAAAAGAAGTACAAAGCCTTTGGATTTAGTGCATAGTGATGTGTGCAACTCGAAAGTCGTACAATCATGTGGTGGTAACAACTACTTCGTCACTTTTATTGATGATTGCACGAAATACTGTTATGTGTATTTGCTTAAGAGCAAAGATGAGGCGATTGATAAATTTATTCTTTTCAAGAATAAAGTTGAGAATTAACTAAGTCGAATGATCAAGGCTTTAAGAAGTGATCGTGGTGGTGAGCATGAATCCCCATTTGCTGAGATTTGTGCTAAATTTGAGATTATTCACCAAACCACAGAGCCTTATTCCCCTCTGTCAAATGGTGTTGCTGAGCGGAAGAATAAAATGTTAAAAGAAATGATGAATGCAATGTTTATAAGTTCTGGGTTGCCACAGAACTTGTGGGGGAAAGCAATTCTCTCCACGAATTACATTCTAAATAGAATACCTTGGAAGAAAGCAGACAAGACTCTATATGAATTATGGAAATGCTGTAAGCCTTCTTATAATTTCCTACGAATGTGGGGGTGTCTTGCAAAAGTGGCAGTTCTTACACCCAAGCGGGTTAGGATAGGTTCGAAAACCATAGATTGTATATTCATTGGTTATACACATAATAGTAGCAGTACCTACACCCAAGCGGGTTAGGATAGGGTCGAAAATCATAAATTGTATATTCATTGGTTATACACATAATATTAGTGCATATAGGTTTCTAGTGCATATAGGTTTCTTGTGCACAAGTCAGATATTTTAGATATCTACAAGAATACCATAACGGAGTCAAGGAATGCATTCTTCTTTGAAGACGTATTTCCTTGTCGAACTCGAGGAGATGATCAAAGTTCTGAGAAGGAACTTGAAGGTGATCAAGATGAGGAAGTAGATGAGCCAAGAAGGAGTAAGAGGGCTAGGACTGCCAAGTCCTTTGGCTAGGACTTCTTGACTTATATGTTAGAGGGAGAACCTCGAACTTTTTATGAAGTTGTGACTTTACCTGAAAATCCCTTATGGAAAGAAGCAATTAAGAGTGAAATCGACTCCATCTTACAGAACCATACTTGGGAGTTGGTTGATCTGCCCCCAAGAAATAAGGCCTTACGGAGTAAATAGATATTTAGAAGAAAGATGAAAGCGAATAGGTCAATTGATATGTATAAAACTAGGCTAGTTATCAAATGATACAGGCAGTAAGAAGGCTTGGATTACTGTGATACGTATTTTCCTGTGATAAGGATTATATCCATTCGCATGGTGATTGTGATAGCTGCTTTATGTGGTTTGGAGATACATCAAATGGATGTAAAGACAACTTTCTTAAATGGAGATTTGGATGAAGAAATCTATATGAAGCAACCCAAGGGGTTTTCAGCTCCAAGGCAAAATAAGAAAGTCTATAAGCTTGTCAAGTTATTATATGATTTGAAGCAAGTTCCTAAGCAATGGCATGAGAAATTTGACAATGGGTTTAAAATCAATGAGTGTGACAAATGTGTATATGTCAAAGACACAGACATAGGCTATGTCATTTTGTGTCTATACGTCGATGACATACTCATTGTTGGTAATAATGATGAAATGATTAGAACTACCAAAAGGTTGTTAAACTCTAAGTTTAACATGAAAGATATGGGCCTTGCAGATGTCATTCTGGATATTAAGATTACCAGAACATCTGGTGGTATTGTACTTTCGTAGTCTCATTATGTTGAGAAGATACTTCAGAAATTTGGTAAATCAAATACAAGTGTGTCTAAGACACCGGTAGACTTGAGTCTATACTTGACCAAGAATAATGGTGAGAGTGTCTCTCAGCTAGAATATTCTCGGGTCATTGGAAGTTTGATGTATCTGATGAGTTGTACAAGGTCGGATATAGCCTACTCTATTAGCAAGCTTAGTAAATACACGAATAATCCGAATGCTACTCATTGGAGGGGCATTATGCGAGTGCTAGGTTATTTACGCTACACCCGGGATTATGGGCTATATTATAGCAAATACCCAGCGGTACTAGAAGGGTATAATGACACTAATTGGATATCTAATATAAAGGACTCCAAATCCACTAGTGGTTATGTGTTTACCCTCAGAGGGGCAGCTGTGTCTTGGAAATCTTCCAAGCAAATGTGTATATCGAGATCAACGATGGAATCTGAGTTTATTGTTTTGGATAAAGCAACTGAAGAAGTTGAATGGTTTATTGTTTTGGATAAAGCAACTGAAGAAGTTGAATGGCTTCGCTAGTTCGTTAAGGATATTTCACGTTGGCCGAAACCTATGTCTACTTTCTGTATTCATTGTGATAGCCAATCGGCAATTGGACGGGCACAAAGTAATATGTATAATAGAAAGTCTAGACATATCCGTCATAGACATAATTCCATACGACAACTACTCTCTAATGGAGTTGTCTCTCTAGACTATGTAAAGTTTAATGACAACATTGCGGATCTGCTAACTAAAGGGTTAACCCGAGAGTTAGTAAAAACGTCGTCAAGGAATAAGGTTAAGGTCTTTAGTAATGTTACCGGAACGGAAAACCCAACCTAGTTGACTGAAGATCCCATGATCTAGGTTCAAAGGGACAACCTAATTTTGTATAACAGGTGAGACACTGAAGAAGTAAATCCCTTTGCCCATTCCTATGTATAGTGATACCTTGTGGGAGTGGAAGATTAAGCTAATGTTTTTAATGACCTAAGTGATATGAATAATCAACCGTGGTATAATGAATAACCTTATATAGGTCACCTATGTGAGTGTGAAGTGGGGCCGCTTCTTTAAGAATTGGTAAGGCCGAATTCTTTAAAAACACTCATTAAACCAGGCTAGTGTTCCAAGGCCATACCAGACACACCAGTAAGAACAAGAACAATGGTTGGACTAACTTCTGTGTAAGGTCTATTGTCTCGGTTTACACAAACGGTAGAACAGTTTGAGACATCATGTTCACTGGTTAGCCAGTAAATCCGATAAGCTTTCACTACGAAAGGTTCAAGACCAACAACTACCTTTCTGATGCAGAGTTAGTTTGTGTGCTCTCTCTCCGAGTCTTTGTTGTAAACATTGTCCATTTTCTTTATTCTGTCAATTTTATTCATGTAGGAGATTGTTGAAAAAAAAAAATGGTTTCATGGTGACTTTAATGTGAAATTAAAGTAGGTCCCAACCCTTGGTTGAGGTGAGATTAAATGAATTTAGATTCTTTGTAACAAGATCTTTACACCACAAAAAGAATGACCAAAAATCATTAAGAATTGAATGAGAAATTGTCTCATAAAGTTGGCCTAATGAATAAGGTATTGAGAATTGTATATAATTACCAATCCTACATTGATTGCAGAGAAAAGCTTTAATGAGTATGTAAACCTCAAGAATTTGATAAGGGCATGATCTCTTTGGGAAATCCAAATTTTTTGAAGGAAGGGAGTTATGGATGCTTTAAGGATGGGCCCGGACCAAAACTGTAGTCCAAGTTAGTTATACAAAAATTGTTACGCGCACGCGCGCCCTCCTGGATCATATCGGGCCGAGTTCGAGTTCGGGTCCAGGTCCGGGTCCGGGTCTGTGATTCGTGGGTCGTAGATCTTGGATCTTGGGCTTGGCCTTGAGGCTTGTTGGAATGGGTTAGGTTTGGGTTAGGTCGGATTGGAGATTCATTAACCTAATCTTTTTGGGCCCAGTCTGTCAAGTGGCTACAAATATATATATATACACACACATGTGTGTATTGTGTGGAACTTATACATTGAATCCCTATTAGTTTTGTGCATTACTCTAGTAGTTTTATAAGAGTAATGGGCTGCATTGGTTGTTAGCTTTCATGGCTGGAGGCTCCTCCTCTCTCCTCTATGGCGTATAAATAGAGACCAACTTTTTTGGTTGACACACTGAATTTTTTTTGGCTTCCATATTATACAGTTAGTTTGCTCCTATAATTTTCTTCTTGTGTGAGAGAGTGCTGCCATTGTCGATTCGCCAAAACTAATAGAAGGTGTTTCTACGTTAGCGGGTCTAGACCGTTGTATCTTGGGAGACAGACACCGACGTACCTCTAGCACTCACGGTGGGGCGGTGAATCTGTTTTAAGGAGACTGTGGTATCACACAGGCTTCAGTTTGATTTCTTTACCATTTTAATGTATTATGTATTTTTGTGCAATATGGTTGTAATTTCCAGCATGTTTTCTTATTTTGTAATTTAGTTTGATTAATCGTGAATCTATTTATCTTATTTAATTACACAACTTAGCCAACAAAAAGCTTTGAAATCTCTAAAGCCTAGCCTATCCTGAAATTTAGATAATGCCAATGAGCCCTAATTAACCCAATAAATCCCTCTGTCTTCTAAGTCCCCTCCCCACCAAAATTTGCTAATATAAGCGTTCAACCTCGCATTGAACCGTTTTGGAAATGCGAAACAAGCCATTGCGTAAGATGGGATTGCTTGTATCTATGTTGATCAATGTCTCATTTCCCGCTTGCGATAACAATTTCAATTTCCACCCTTGTAATTTAGAGAGGACTTTTTCAATTATGAATTCAAACGCTTCCGTTTTTGACCGACCCCAAAAGGATAGTAAACCCAAATATTTTGCATTAGTAGGGGTGATCTTGAGACCAGAGAGGTCACAGATGTATCTATTAGTGTTGGGCTAAACATTTGTTGAAAATTGCACACTTAGGCCTCGTTTGGTAAGTGATGATTTTAGCCAAAAAGTCAAAAAATCACTAAAAAAATCAAAAAGCCAACAACTTATACAAAAAAGTCAAAGATTTCATTTTCTCTTTACTTTTTGCACATCTTTTCGTAAAAAATCAAAAAGTCATCCTAAACATACTAGTTTTTTTTTTTTTATATATCATATTTTAGCAAAAAAATCAAAAAGTTTCTAAAAAATCTTGTTTCCAAACAAGGCCTTAATTTGCTAAAATTTATTTATTGACTAGAGGCTTTATAGTAGATGTCCAGAACCTCCAGCACATACTTACACTCCTGAATATTTGCCTTGAGAAAAAGAAACACATCATCCGCGAAGAACATATGCGAAAGGGTCGGGCAGTGCCTTGTTATTTTCATCCCTGAGACTTAATTCCGTCTTAGGCTCTGATTGAGAAGTTTTGAGAGGACATCCACCATTAAGATGAAAAGATATGGGGAGAGGGGATCGCCTTGACGAAGCCCTCTAGAAGAAAAGAATGATGCTCGCTTATCACCATTAACAAAAATAAAAAACTCACATCATGACATACTCCATAGCCCCATTAACCTAATTCGAATGAAACCCCAGCTTTCCCAGAACAGCGGCTAGAAAGTCCCTTTCTATTCGATCATAGGCCTTGTTGAAATTGAGTTTTATAGCCATATTACCAACAACCCCTGATTTTTTTTTTTTTTTTAATTTGAGAGCATGGAAAGCTTCGTGGGCTACCACAACATTATCTTGAATCATCCGCCTTGGCACAAAAGATGATTGGTTTGGGGAAATATGATTCTTCAGAAAAGGCTTCAGGCAATTAGCTAGGATTTTGGTGATTATTTTCATATTAAAATTACATAAACTGATTGGACGAAGTTAGGATAACACATTGGGCTACTAGCCTTGGGGATCAAAACCAGATTGGTTTGATTTAGTTCTTTAAGCAAATAACCACCAAGAAAAAAACTACGCACAACTTCAGACACCTTAGCCCCTACTTTATCCCATTAAGTTTGGTAGAAAAACCCTGGAGAGCCATTGGGTCCTAGAGCTTTCATTGCTCCTAACTGGATTAAACTTCTGTTCATAACATCAGATACCATTGGTTCCACCGCTGATAAGGCCTCCATGTAGTTTCTATCCCCAACACTTGTGAACAATGAAGAGAAAAAGCCGAAGATATAATGATTAATCTCAGGTTTTGAATTCAGCCATTGTCCTTCCTCCGTTTGTGAGTGAAGAATTTGGTTTCTTTGGCTACGTTGAATCATTGAAGCATGAAAGAAGGAAGAATTCTTGTCCCCATAATTCAACCAACGAACTCTCGATCTTTGATGTAGAAACATTTCCACCCTAATAAGAGCTATTTCAAGATCAACTTTTACTTGGCTTTTGACTGCATATTTTCTTTTGTTCAGGGTTGTGACTGAAGAGACAAGAGTTTTGATTTAAGGAGAGCAATTTCCAATTTGTTATTCCCAAAGTGCTCCTTACTCCAAACTTTTAGCCCATCCTTGCAACAGTTAATTTTCTTAACAATTTGGAACATAGGAGAGCCAATACGGGGCACAACCCATTTAGAATGAATAACCTCTACTCAGGACTTGTCGACCACATGATTTATTATTTTAAAATTATGACCTATTCATTATATAAATTATAAATATTTAAAATATTTAAAATTATGTCATATTATAATATACTAATTAGTATATCAATCGATATATATATAACATTATTCTTTTATTTTTTATAAAAAAATTAAAATAATTAATTTCTTAAATGGGACCCAACTTGACCACCCACAAACAATCCTTAAAAAAATTCCCAGTTTTTTTAAAAAGATTCAGATCGGATCATGCGGCGTGCAAGTAAAGTTTCAATTTTTTAATTTTCTTTTGTTCATTTTGTTCTCATTTTTATAATAATAATAATAATAATAATAATAATATTTTAATTATTTATCATTATTAATTCCGAAAGTCAGAATATGTATTTGTGCAATTGTGTCTATGCATGCGTATCTATGTATTTGGATTTTCCTTCTATCCATCCCATTTGTGTAATTTTTTTTTTTCTCTTCTTCATATATGTGTGTCTGAGTATATATTCTTCTAGAAAACTAGATAATAGAATGTGGGTCTGTATCTGAATCCTTATGTATATATATAAATTCCCAAATAAATGTATAAACAAATTGGTGTGAGATAGATTGAGAGGACTTGGTTTTTGCAGGCATGGTTTGTGGGTTTTGTTGGCTTATGTGGAATGTTGGACATATGTCTTTGCATGCAAGCTGATTCATTTCTGGATTCTCTCTCTGGGTATTGTAACTTCTGATCTGATTCTGATGATTCTGCTTCTACATTTTCTTCTAATTTGATCTGGGTTTTACTCTGATTTCTCTCTCACTCTGTTATTAGGTACTTGTTGATAATTGTGGTTGAAGTTTGTGGATTCAATGTATTGGGTGAGATTGCAAATTAGGAGTTGAGTTTCTAATTGATTCTGGTTAGTCTGCTGCTACATTTTCTATCTTTACACATTTGCTTTTAATTTGATCTGGGTTTCACTGTGATCTCTCTCTCTTACTCTGTTATTAGGTACTTATAATATTTTTAGTTGAAGTCCATGGATTCAATGTAGTTGGTATTAATCCATGTTTGGCTTTTGGGATTGCAAATTAGGAGTTAAGTTTGTAATTGATTAAAGGGTTTTGAGACTGATTTTTCAGAATGATTGATTATTGGTGTGTGTAGAGGGTTGGTGAATGGGTGCTCAGAAAATGGGATCTCAAGGTGGTGGTAGTGGCGGTGATGGTGGTGAAATCCAAGAGCAGAAATCGCATGCATTGTCCCGGCAAGGGTCCTTGTACAGCCTCACCCTAGATGAGGCTCAGCAGCAATTAGGGAATTTGGGGAAACCACTTAGCAGCATGAATCTTGATGAGCTTCTCAAGAGCGTGTGGACCGCCGAAGCTAATCATGGAATGAGTGGGATTGATTATGCAGCTTCACAGCATAACCAACTTGCATCAGTCTCCGCTCCACATCGGCAATCGAGCCTTACTCTGTCTAGGGATCTGAGCAAGAAGACTGTTGATGAGGTGTGGCAAGATATTCAAATGGGGCAAAAGCAGAATAATCTCAATAGGAAAGCCCAAGAAAGACAAACCACTCTTGGGGAGATGACATTGGAGGACTTCTTGGTTAAGGCAGGTGTGGTTGCTGAATCTTCGCCAGGGAAAATAAATTCTGGTCTTGTTTTAGGGGCCGATCCAATCGCATTGCCCCAACAACAAGCTCAGTGGATGCAATACTCCTCAATTCATCAGCACCAACAGCACCAACAACACCAGAACATGCTAGCTGTTTTCATGCCGGGCCATTCAATTCAACAGGCTCTTCCTATTGGTGTGAACCCAATTATGGATTCGGCTTACCCTGAAACCCAAATGACCATGTCGACATCCCCTTTAATGGGTACATTATCGGACACTCAGACTCCCGGACGGAAAAGGGTTGCCCCCGGAGATGTTGTTGAGAGAACTGTTGAAAGGAGGCAGAAGAGAATGATAAAGAATAGGGAATCGGCAGCCCGGTCAAGAGCGAGGAAACAGGTTAGATTTCAAATCTTTGAGTGCATTGTGATTCCCTTTCTTTTATGCACGGCTGTGCGAAATACATATGTTGAATGGGCAGGCTTACACACATGAGCTGGAGAACAAGGTTTCACGTCTAGAAGAGGAGAACGAAAGGCTTAAGAGACAGAAGGTATCTTCTACAAAAAAATTTAGCATTTCATGGTTTACTGTCTTACCTGTTATGCCTAATTTTGTGTTTGTTTTTATTATTTTTTGGATGTGATAGTGAAAACAAATGGCATGTTAATATAATGTTTATTTTTCTGTGAGTTGCTATTTGCTTTCCTGAAGTAAACCTAATCTATTACAACTTGATTTGCCACTAATTTTGAATCATGAAATAGACACAAATACACTTGATGGATGCCAGACAATGTGCCTTTTTGGTGTAGCTTAAAAGCTGTTTATTTCAGCTTTCAGCTTAATTTAAGCTATTTTGATGTGTTTGGTTTAACTTACAGCTTTTTGGAAGTCAGAAATCAGCTTATTCTTTGAGTGTGGCAGGAGATGCTTAATTTATAAGTAAGAAATCAGCTTATGTTTATAGTTATAAGCTATAAACTGTTTAGGCATAAGCTGTAAGCACTTTCCCACAGTTCTACCAAACAGGGCCAATCATTACCGAAGTTATTAAGATACTTTTGAAGTGATTATTTGGCAAGTACTTTTCCCCCATTTGATTTGTGCTTTATCATGGAAATTAGGTTATGTATCCGATGTGTTTACTCAATGTCTTGGATTGATCATGTCTTGTAATGCTTGTAAATCAAATGATCGACTGTTGGATAATTATGCAATATGTATTAATTCTAGGGCCAATTTAAAGTTGATCAATGTCCAGAAAATCGAGCCTATAGTATATACTTTATCTAAAAGGGATAGACAAAGAATGGTTTCTATGGTTGACCATCCAACCGTCTTGTCATTTTTGCAGACTTCAGTTATATTTGGTTTCCAGATTGTAGGAATAAATCCTGCTTGCTGACTACTGAACTGAGGTAGGATGTATGCCTAAGACAAGTCTGGGTGGAGGGTTCGAAGTTATTTTTCAGTGGTGTGGTGCTTTTTTAGAATACACGGGATGATTGAACTAGAAAGACATGGTGAAACTTTTTAAGGCAAAAAGAAAAGAAGTAAAAAATACAAAAACAAAAAATGAAAGAAAAGAACTAGAAAGATGTGGTAAATTGATTCCTTTGGACTATGTTATATGGACTTGGGTACAAATATCAAGTGCGGATGTGTAACCAAGTGTCAGATCTTGTTACACCTAAATCTTAGGATATTAGAATATGTATCCAAAAGTTGTATGGGTATGGGGACACCTTTTAAGTATGTATATATATATGACATATTGTATTATATTATACTACATATTGTATAATATTCTTAGGTAATATCTTGTAGATTATTTAGAAATGTACTTCAAACCAAATGGGGTCTAAAAAAAATATAAATTTATATCTTCTATTCGTGTAAGAAGCTAAAAATGTTTCTTTATTGGCAAACGTGAGCATATTCTTCTTCAAACATTAAATAATATTAGAAGATCTAAATGTCTACATTGGTACGGGTATTGGACACATATCCTACACCCTTACTCTTGTCATATCCTATTGACACAGGTACACTTGGGGAGTAGAATTTCTTGCTCAGGACATATCTAATTGGAAGTATCAGACACATCTTATACCCTTTATCTAGGTGTCAAGTGTCCAACGTGTGTACTTGATTTATTTTGAAGTCAATGTAACATAGATCTTTCTTTTATTTTTGGCTTTTGTATCCTTGCTAGAATAAGCCAATTCATCAAACTGATTTAGAACCCCTCGGTCATCAACATTGTAAATTGCTTCTATTCTGCTCTTTGCCCAACATAATCCCTTTCCTGATGAGAAGGGAGGTCAATGCTTCCCTTTCACCCAGGCTTGCACCAAATAAAAACGGACTCCCTCTTACACAAAAGTTGACTCATGGAAAGTCATTGAAGTCTTGTAGCACACTCTTGGAGCCTAGGGTAATGCAAGGTGCTAGCCTAAGGCAAGAAGACACATGTCTACAAATTTGAGTACATCCATCAAAGAGAAAACAAAGAACTATATGCTTTCAGAAATTCAAAGTAACACATAATTTATCAGCCCTCTCTGTATATTATCAAGACTATCAAACCTTAAAGATCACCTTTTAGCCTTATTTTGAAAAAATAGAACCATGATATAATAGTTGTTGGATTTAAACAAGCATGTACTCACTGCTCATGGATTTTCATTTGAAAAGGTTACAGTTACATTTAATTTGGTGATGGTCACGTGTAATTTGAGAGAAATAAAGGGTTTTGAATTCTTATACAGTGCAAAACTACAAATACAGTAAACGAAGTTTTTTCTTGTGGGTCTGGACATACAATTCTGCCTTGTGGCATTGCCACATCTTGGCAAGCTAACATATTCGATGAGCAAGGTGCCACGTGCCAACCTTATGAGGTGTCAGTTGGACCAGTAGTGTTTCTCTAACATGCTCCCCTTCGGATTACAACTACGCCTATCAAGGATAGCTCACTCTATGCCCTAGCTTGAACCTAGGTGCGCAAGGCTAAGACATCCTTTAGGCCACTCACAAGACCCCTTTTCTCTACTGAGGATCCTCCTCTTAAGCGAGCCACTTTTTCCATTTGCAATTGATGAGCTTAGTGCCTCTTGGCTCGACTAAGCAGTTCTCCTTTGAGCACACTACTCTTCTATACGTGTTCCTCAAAGGTGATTAGGCATCCTTATTCTGTGGCCAAGCATGCCCCTCTTGTGATGTCTGCTTGGATTCACCTTGACTCGTTTGGGTGACCCCCTTCGAGTAGTCTTCATCGGTCTCCTATACATGGTCTCCAGAAAGGCATCTTGATGTTCCTCACCAACTTAAATTAGGAGAAGCACCCAGAAACCCCTCAGGGTTGGCCTAAGCATCCCACGGTCCTATTCAGGATCACCAGAGAATCAATGACTGGGAGGCTAGAGTCAAGGATTTCTCAAGGTGCATTTCTATCCCCTTCCTTGAAGGGACTTTCACCTTGATCGGTCTTTGGGAGAGGGGAGCCTCCACTGTTAGTTTTCTGAATAAAACTGTATATTCAATTGAATTAATTGAATAAAGAATACATCACTCATATAGAACACTAATTCCTAATCTTAAACCAATACATCACTGATATAGAATTCTAATAGATATAAAACATCTAATAGATATAGAACACTAAGGCCAAGTTTGGGAAGACTAAAAAAGTGCACTTTTTGTCTTTTTGGACTAAAAAATTGAGGTTGAAAATATGGATGTTTGGGTTAACTTTTTTGACTTTTTATTGAAAAATGTGTAATAAAAAATTGTAAAAATTGATTTGTAGGGAAAAATTTGAATTGGGAGTTGTGCAGCCGTAATTGTTGACTTTTGGTGAATAGTGTTAACTTTTTAGCTTTTTGAGTAACTTTTGGCTTTTTGGCTTTTTTGGATCTTCCCAAACTTGGCCTAAGTCTTAATCCTAAAAGGAAAAAGGAGAACACTGAATATAGGCATATTCTCACACCCCCGCTCAAACTCAAGGTGTTTTAGCAGAAAACACTGAGAGTTTGTCAAGAAAAAACCGAAACCGAGCAGTGGTGTGAGTCTTGGTGAAGAAGTCAGCAAGTTGCAGAGTCGAAGAGACAAAAAGAAGTGAAGTGACAATCAATCTCAATGTGTTTTGTCCGTTCATGGAATACAGTGTTATGAGCAATTTGAATAGCACTTTGGTTGTCACAATAGAGAGAGGTCGGGGAAGACTGAGGGACGCTCAAGTCAGATAAGAGACCACGAAGCTAGACAATTTTAGCAATAGCATGAGCCATAGCACGATACACAGTTTCGGCAGTAGAACAGGCAACAACAGTTTGTTTCTTGCTTTTCCAAGAAATCAGGGAATTGCCAAGAAACATACAGAAACTAGAAATAGATTTACGATCATTAACATCACCAGCTCAATTAGCATCAGCAGAGGCCACCAAATCTAAGGAAGAAGTAGAAAATAATAGCAAGTCCTGAAAGATAGTACTGCGAAGATAACGAAGGATTCGAGGCAAAGCAGCCCAATGTGTAGAGCGAGGAGCAGAAACAAACTGACTAACCACATGGACAACATAGGCAAGATCAGGCGAGTAACTGTCAGATAGACTAAGCAAACCACATGCTCGCGAAATAACGTAGGATCGTCTAGAGGAACACCATCAGTAGTGTTGAGCTTCACATTAAGCTCAATGGGAATATCAGAAAGCTTAGTGTCAGTAAGTCTAGCACGATGGATAAGCTTGTTGGCATACTTAGCTTGGGACAGAAAGTAACCCTTGGAAGAAGAAGCCACCTCAATACTAAGAAAATACCGTAATGGTCCCAGATCCTTCATTTCGAAGGTGCAGAAGAGATACTGCTTGACCTCAGAGATAGCAGAAGAGTCAGAGCCAGTGATAAACATATCATCTACATATAGTAAGAGTAAAACAAAACCAACCGAGGTATGTCTTAGAAATAAAGCAGAGTCGGAAGCAAAAAGATGAAAATAGAACAAGCTCAGGAGGAACTGCGGAGATGTACTTATCGGACGGGACCTTAGAAGGAAACAGATCAATATGAACCAAATCCTCTTTGGAAAATGGAGCGGTGACAGGAGGAAGCTGAAAGTAAGGTAGACGTTCAAGAAAAGAAACATGATGGGAGACATAAAGATGACGGGAAACAGGGTTGTAACACCGATAGCCTTTCTAAGCAGGACTATAACCCAAAAAGACACAAAGGACAAACTGGGTACTAAGTTTGGTCCTATCCTTGCGGGGAAGAATGACAAAACAGGCAAACCCAAACACACGAAGGAGGGAATAGTTAGGAATTTGGGAGAACAAAGCCTCATAAGGAGACCGACCAGAAAGAAGGGGAGTAGGCATGCAGTTGAGAAGAAAAGTAGCAGTAAGAACTGTCTCCCCCCAGAATGGAGTCGGAACTGAGGCAGAGAAAAGAAGAGATCTAGCTGTCTTAAGGAGATGACGGTGTTTACGCTCGGCTCGACCATTTTGGGTAGGTGTATCTGTACGGGAAGTTTGGTGAATAGTATCCAAA